CCCAGCTACTTGGGAGGCGGAGGCAGGAGACTTCGCTTGAGCCCAGGCGTTGGAGGTTGCTGTGAGCTGTAATGCCACGGCACTCTGCCCAGGGGGACAGCTTGAGGCTCTGTCTCAAAAAAAAAAATAAATAAATAAATATAGATGGACAGGGTGGCACCTGTAGCTCAGCAGGTAGGGTGCCGGCCACATACACCCAGGTTGGTGGGTTCGAACCCTACCCCAGCCAACTAAACAACAATAGCTACAACAACAACAACAAAAATAATCTATCTGGGTGTTGTGGCAGATGCCTATAGTCCCACTACTTGGGAGGCTAAGGCAAGAGAATTGCTTAAGCCAAAAGGTCTGAGGTTGCTGTGAGCACTGACGCCATGGCACTCTACCGAGGGCAACAAAGTGAGACTCTGTCTCAAAAAAAAAAAAAAAATTAATGGGTGTCGCCTGTGGCTCAATGAGTAGGGTGCAAGCTCCATATAGCGAGGGTGGCAGGTTTGAACCCGGCCCCAGGGTGGTGCCTGTGGCTCAAAGGGTAAGGTGCTGGTCCCATATGCCGGAAGTGACAGGTTCAAATCCAGCCCCGGCCAAAAACTGCAAAGAAAAAAAATGAACCCGCCCCGGCCAAACTGCAACAAAAAAGTAGCCAGGCGTTGTGGCAGGCGCCTGTAGTCCCAGCTACTCAGGAAGTAAGAGAATCACCTAAGCCTAAGAGCTGGAAAATTGTCACAGCACTCTACCCAGGGTAGAGTGACAAACTAAGACTCTGTCTCTAAAAATAAAAAATTAAATATAGATGGCTGTAAGGCAGTATTATAAACTTTAGAGAATTAACTAGAAAGTAAATTGTTTATAATAAATCTATAACTCATTTTTCTGGGTTTTTTTTTTTGCCTTTTTTCCCTTCAAAGTAAAATTTCTCATTCTGTATATAAAGGGTTTTCCAGTTTTGCTTTATAAGATTCAGCAGTTAACTGTGTGGTGTTGTCATTTTAATAAAAACTATTCTTAGGACCTGGACAGCAGAGAAAAAGCCAAAGATTTGAACTTAGAATTATAGTGGGCTCGGCGCCTATAGCTCAACCGGCTAAGGCGCCAGCCATGTACACCTAAGGTGGCGGGTTCGAATCCCCAGCCCGGACCCGCCAAACAACAA